ACTGGAAACTACCGAAAATTTCTTAATTTGTCTCTAAAAACTATCAGTTTTAGTTGATGATCGTTTTAGACAATTTAAACAAAAAACTGACAAGACTGGCCCACACGCCGGGCTAATGTGGCTGAAAAGTCAATGCCATGGGAGACTGGCCCACCCGCAACTGTCGCCTCCCACCTCCCACCCCCACCAGCGCTGCAGATCGACGCCGCCGAACCCGTCCCCTGTCTCGCCGCCGGACCCGTCCCCCCGTCTCGCCGCCGTCCAGGTCGTCCTCGGCCTCCGGCTCACCACCGACTAGCTTCCGGCAGCAAGGGCTCGCCGCGACGGTGGTCCTGATTTCGGGGGAGGGAGACCTGGCCTTCGGCAGCAACTAGGACGACGACGCGGAGGACGCCTCGCCGGGCGGCAAGGAGCTGGCAGCCATGGTGGAGGCAGCGACGGCGACGAGCATGGAGCTGGATGCGGCCGCTGACTGGGTGCCGCCGTACAGGGACGACCGAACGCCCCGCACACCGGCTCGTGTGCGCGTAGGAGGCATCCCGTGTGCCCGGGAAGAAGGCCTCCCTTCGAGCTGGAGCTCGTGGTCAGCGGCAAAGAGCAGCAGCACCACGGCTCCGACCTCCCTCTCGCCTCCGGCGACGACTGCCGGGGAGTCGGAGCTCCGCAACACCTTCCTCCCATCCGTTGGTACAGAACGTCGAGGCTCACGCCTGCCACGAGGCTCGGCCGTAGTGTGCGAGCACCACGGTGTGCAGCAGGGGTGTCTTCCCGGCGGGTGCATCACCGGAGTTTGACCTCCTTCCCTCCCATGCACAGAAGTTGTTTGTGAAAATGCCAAAGAAAGATAGAGAGAGGAGGAAGAAGAATGACGTGTGGGTCCCACCTGTAATAACGGTCAACTGAACGGTCAACATGTTTAAATCGTTTAAATTGTCTATTATCTGAAAGTTGTAGTTTTGAGTCACAAAATTAAATTTTTTGGTAGTTTTGGGCCACTTTTTTAAAAATGATAGTTTTGTGGGACAACGGCGTCAATTGTGGTAGTTTTTTGTCAAACACCCCTCGAAGGCACTCGCGTATGGCAAAAAAAAAAGAATCTTGCTATACGTACGATAGAATGCATGTCCAACATTGTACGATCAGAGATAATTCAGTTTGTGGGTCATAGCAGTTAAAGATGCTTTGCTCTCTGGTCGTACTGGTCGGACAAGAAATTCATCGTATACAGAGCAGTTTCGAGAAAAAAACGAACGCGTAGGTACGAAGCGGCAGGCTCTGGGTAGGTGGTGCATCAATTCTAGGAGCGGTACGTACGTGGGATTGTGCGTGTGTCTAGTCTACTACTCTACTATCGATTCGGCGGCTTTTAATACGATTATACGACTACGTACGCTACGTGCTGCTGTACTCTACTCGGGCGTTGCCGACTTGTAAATGCGTGTGTGGGTGTTTTCCCACGAGATGTAACAACAAATGTGTGAACGTCGATGGGACTCGTCGGAAATATGACGATCGCTGTGGGGCATGGTCGGCGAGACCTTGATCTGTGGACCTGGTGTTGGAAATGGCTAGTCATGGCTAACTTTGAACCGGCTATATACCACACAAATTAAAAATGCAGTTTGTCATGGATCATATTGATGATAAAATGGTGTTGTAAAGTCACAACCACCGAGACAAATCAAACACATTGCCTGAAAATCTCCACTGTCACCTCACGAATCTGACGCAAGACTGAGTCCCCGCGACACCCTCCAATCACCGGGATCAGAATCAATGCCCTCACAATATTTAGTCCAGTGGCAATGCAACGATGAGCAAAGCGACACGACATGGCAATGTAACAATGAGGCGGAGTTAAACCATGCCAGGGAGGCTATGGCTCCATCTGAGGGAATTTATCGCCAACCCATGCACTGGAAGAGCAGATGAGAGGGGGGCTGTTGGTTGAGCCCTATCAGGATGGTGCGAGGCAATGAGTCATCATCTCGGCGTTGTCCACCATGGACGGCATATGACGGCAAATGGACGATGTCGGCAACTGTTACCGACCTAGACGATCGAGAAGACATCAACGACCCATTAAGGTGGCAACGTCCCAACCGTTGTCGTCTACTACCACCGCCCCTTCACGAGTACATACGGACAATGCATGATGATCATATAACGACAAATTATATCATCATCATGTAAGGTGGCAACGACGCTAGTGTCAAGAAAAGTGCGGGTCAAGGCTTTTTTTTTTCACTTTGAAAAATCACGGGCTAAGGAGGGTGACCGACACCCTTAGCAACGCGCGGCTGAAACGATGCGAGTTTGCCACATTCGAAGCCGATGCTAAAAACCATCCGTCATGCTCATTTTATTTTTGCAAGCACGCACGGATGAAGCTCGTCATTTCGAAAAAAAGAGAGGATGAAGGTCGTCAATGGCCACCTATAAAATTCAACCTAAAAATAACTATGTAGATCGGTCGATTGAGAAATAAGTAAGCACCTCTTAAATAAAGGGAAAAGATTCCCATCAACCGACCGATTCACAACATTCGCCGTCTTAAACACGCGCCACGCGTCCCGTGTGAGGTGAAGCCATCACCGCTCATCCCCTTCTTATCCTCATTCGTCTACATCTAGCTTGCAATGCATGCTCATATGCATCTCTCAATCCAAGCTCATGACGAGTAGCACCCCATGGCCGGTGGCCAGTATAGGGGCCTGCGAGTATGCACTAGCGGCTGATTTTGTAGATGTTGGAAGCCGGCCACTCGGGTGTTGTGTGCCGGCCGTGCACGGCAGCCGGGCTGCACCGCCTGCGTCTGCTAGGCACGCCATCGTTGAAGCCTCCTGTCGCTCGTCGTTCCACGCCGCGACCATTTGGGAGGAGCACCGGCGTCCATGGTTGCCGCCTTCTCGAGCTGAGACGCAAGAACATATCCTACACCGTAATTTCTGTTACAAAAAGTTTCTGCAACATGCCTTTTGTTGCAGAAAAAATATAGACATTTCTGCAACGATCTCTATTGCAAAAAAGAACAGTAACATAACCTCTGTTGCAAAAAAAGTCTGAAGACATTTCTGCAACATGCCCTTTGTTGCAAAAAAGTTATAAACATTTCTGCAACGTGATCTCCGTTGCAAAAAAAAACATAACCTTTGTTGCAAGAAAAATCTGAAGACATGCAAAAAAAAAAAGGCAACATAACCTCTGTTGTAAATATTTCTGCAACAAAACCTACATTCCAAAGGTTTCTGCAACATTATCTTTGTTGCAATGATCGAGGGTGCTGATAGCTGCTTGATGACAACGTGTCTGACAGCTCGCGACTCGGCTGATCTTTTAAAAAAATCAGCCGGCGAAAGCGTAGCAGCGCCCTTATAAATAAATAAAGAAGAGAAAACGTGGACACACTGTTTGCCAACGAGATAACCCGCCGAGCCGCCCGAAGGCGGCAGGCGGCGCGTGCCGTACCCGCACAAGCAAATCGAACAAATTAAAAAAAAGGAGGCACTCATCAACGGGGGCGGGACGAGCGGGGTGATGGGCCGACCGACGGCGACGGTGCAGGCCGGGGAGCGAGCCGGGCGAGTCGCGTTGTGCGCGGCAGGTGGGGGACCCCGACCCCGGCGCCGCAGCAGTACAACCAGCACAACCATAGAGAGAGCAGACTCAAACAGGGTAGAGAAGCCACGCGGAAGTTTCGTTCCGGGGAGTCAAAGCCAAGCCACGCTTCGCTCACACGCGCGCACGCACGCACGCACAGGCAGCGCTCTCCCCCTCTCTCCCTCTCTCCACATCGCATCGGCGCGGCGGGCCTGGCCTTTACTCTCTCCTCCCGCCCTCCCCCTCACACGCTTTGCCTTTGCCCACGAAAAGGACAACCAACCCGGAGCGACGCAGCCAGGCAGGGGTGAAGAGAAGAGAGAAGGAAAAAAAAGGCGTGAGTCCCTCCCTCCTCCCTCCCACTTTTGCTCCAGTCGCCGCCGAGATCCGCCCCGCGCCCGCCCCCGCCGCCGCTCCGCGCCGAGGTGAGCGCCCCGCCCGCCGATCCGCGCCGCCCGGTTA